TTTATTAGGAGATTAGCAATCTCCCTTCTCTTTATCGAATTGCCTTTTAAATTCTTAACCTTACTTTAATTGGTTACCTTATTTCTGTTTCAACAACTGCCACATTATAGTCTGCTTGAACAAATAATGATGACTCAAAACTGACGGTTGTCGAATAATTAGCATTTAATGCTGCATATATATATTATTATTAAGATATAGAATTATTTATATATACTGAATTTAAACTTATTAAATAAATTAATAAATATTTACAGATTCTTGATGATACGTATGGTATTGTTTCAAAATCAGGTGAAATTCCCAAAGTTGCTTTCCAATTTGGAATAATGTTTTTTCTGATTCTTCGACTAAATTTTATTGTATAAGACTTAATATATAAAAAATAATAAATTTTAAAATGGAATGAATTCATCTTTTAGTAATCATTTTGATTTGATTTTATTTTACCTGCCCCTGTTTGAACTCATAAGTATTAAGCTGTGTAATTGATTGTGAAAATGGCGAATTATCAGGCGAAAAAGTTCCATTTACATTGTTTTTTCGGTTGATATAATCTAAATATGGTTTATATTGTTATATTAAAAATGTAATAAATAATTTAAGCTATAGACAAAGTGAGAAATAAATACCTGAATCAAAAGCTTTAAACATAATTTGTGAACTAGAATTAAAAGGTCTCATCGTAAAAACTACTGAATTTCTCAATAAAAGTAATTTGAAATTGGAATTTAATGGAAGTGTAAAATAGCCGTTATAATAACTTCCATTTTTTTCAGATGGTTCTGTAATATATCGATTACAAGCATTACTATCAAACGCTGCAGCTAATGCTGCATCACTATCAAAACTTTCGGGTGTTATAAAAACGCAACGGAACAGAAAATATCCTTCCGAAGAGAGTTGTATAGCTGATATAAATAGTTTATTTTCTTTAGCATGAATTAAGAGCTTAAAAGATAATTATTCTTGACTTTTTTTCACCTGGTACTGGCATGTCATCTTTAATAAGAGAATAACTAATGATTGGTTGATCATTAATGCAACTTTGGATTGTATTAATGGTAAATAAAGACAAGCAGACCAAAAGAAATATTATGAAAATAATTCTTATAATATGGACTGATAAAGGTTCAATATTGCGATTTCGTTTGTAAATATCACTTATAATCATTTTATTATAGGAAGTCAACACTATGTGTCCGAATTAGAATGACAAATTAAGATTTTTGAATGTAACGTATTTATAATTATGACAGAATCTAGATATATATGCATCGATATGCATTATATAATGAAATGTTCTGATAGAAACTTCTCACTTTTAGAATAAGCACAAAATTGTAATAAAATCATAATAGTTTTTATGGAAATAGTTCCTTAAACTGATGCGTTTTCAAATTAATAAATTAAATTAAACAATCAAATTTCATTAACTCTCCATAAATGCTTCATCATGTAACGTACGTAAAATACTCATTAGATTCCACCATTAGACTTAAAGACTTCATTAAAATGAATAAAATGTCAATTACAAATGCTTTGTGGCATTCACTTTATGAATGCAAATAATCTTAATAGATGCGCATATGTAGAATATTGACGTTATCCTTATTCCGAACCAGCCATAATTATTTATTTATATTTTATTTAACTTATAATATTTCACGAAAGTCTCACAAAAGGATCTGCCGAGCATGCAGTAGT